TTTCTCTTAGTCTCAGATGAGCTGTAAATTGAGTTTGATTGTTTTATGGCCCTTTGGGCCAGATTCATAATTTGGCCCAACCCCTTTGATTTTAGATTTCTGATTTCAGCTGTAACTAATTGCTTCAGCCCATTGACTAAATCTCCACCCCATAATTCATCTGGTGTCGCCTACAATCGAGATTCCACATTCTCCCATCTCCATGACTGCCCACTTCCTTCCCTGTGATACCGAGCCACTATCTCCAGCTCGAAACAAATTGTAGCAGCTTCAATTTCCCCATTATTTGAGATTTGATTCAGGTCGAAGACCCTCTCCCTTCCAGGAAACCAGCCCATGGAATTACCATCAAGCAAAATCGGCGATTCCAGTCGTCGATTGTAGTTCTCTACTTTCCCGAACTCCTCATGAGAACTCCTTTCAACTGTTCGTTCTCCTGCTTCATTGATGATGAGTGAAATTTCCAAATCCACAATACTATCCCCCGCCTCGTCAGACTTTAGAGAGATTTCAACATTTAAGGTAGGTTCTGGCGAGTTCTGTATTGCCCCCTTCTCCTCTCGGTCTCGCTCCTGTCCATCCAACTTGCGAGTCACTGCTTCCAGTTTCTCCAACATTGATGTCATGGCCTTGTGAAATTCAAATCTCATGGCTCCTATTTCCTCTCTTATTTCTGAATTCATTTTCTCAAGCTTCACTTCCAGGTTACTAACCCGATCTTCTAATTCATTTTCTTCATCCATAGTCATGTCCCCAGGATAGTGCTCTGATACCATTTTGATAGAACCCCTTGGTGATAATAAGACTCAACAATGGAAATTAAACTGTTATTTACTGAATAAGATGCTGCAAACAAAAGGGAAACTGATCCAAAGCTTTTGAGAGGCCTGGTCTCTCCCCCAAAGACTCAACAAAACGTGAATGAATAATTCCTAACCCCCAACTCTCCATTTATAAGCAATCCCTACTTGAATTATTACATTTTTTACCCTACTACTAACTATTGAACCTTCTGGATTAACAAAGATGTGGCTGCAACCATGTGAATCAGTTTGGCATCTATCAAATAGCTAAGTCAGCTAAAGAAAACTACAATATCTCACATATCAAATGCTCAAGACAGTCAGTCCATTAACTATACAATTTGTGCCAAATGTGGACTTTTTTATGTGGTCATTACATTGGATAGGAAACTCTGAGATGGCTGGCATGTGTTACGTGTATTGGAATAACAGAGGGAAAGATCCCAGCCTAAACTCACTCAACATGGTCATTTTGCCAAATACCACACCCTTCACATAAAACGGTATCACATCCCAAACCCTGATTTCTTCCCTGGTGTCTCTAAAACAGCTCTATCTCCAAAACTTGATCAAATTGGATGATGACAAAACAAATTGAAGCCAATTTCAGTCCGTATTCAGCTCAACCATTTGTTAGTTCCATAAGAGTTCCATGTTGGTGCCAGTATGTGTCCAAATGCCTTATTCTTGTAACCTCTTGATTTGTTATATTCCAAAGAGGTAAGACTATCAATTTCTTAACCTGTTTTCCTCTATTAAGAAGCAAAATGATGTCCAGTTAAATAAAACCCGATAAAAATGGGCATCCAAATGTAGTTAAGTAGTTAAAGATAAAAATTAATATCAAGTCATATAATTCATAAATGTTTTTATAGAAATAGATGGGCTTTTATTGCACGTTAGAAGAGAATGCAAAGCATTTGAGGGAGACCGCTACTCAAAGTCACAAAGAAAGATTCCATTAAAATGTGAAATATTACACTCCGACTAAGATGCAAAACAATTAAAGAATTGTCAATGAAAACCTCCTGAAGCTTTTGCCTGTGATAGCACAAAAGAGTTAAATGCATCCCAAAAATTAAAGAGTGGTGATCTAATTCCGAAAGACCTCCTCATTTCTCTTTGTCCAAGTATACCAAACATATGCATAGGACTGACCTCCACAATAACTCTTCTTCCAACCTAAAACCAAATGTCCAGAACGTAATTTGCAACATCTTTACTACAGGCTTTCTAACTTTTTTCTGAATGCAAATACCAGGCACGTGCTCAATATCGTTTCTCCAAGTATCAGGTCCGACCCAGGTATTCGTACAATTAGAAGAGATGGGGTAGTGTGGAGGAAAGAGTTCAATGATTTTATGCATCTATGCATCGAACACCAAAAATAGTTTTGAAAATAAAATTATGTTCAGCAACAAAAATAGATGCTTACTTCTGGGATTGTCTGCTGAAGTACTGATTCAACAGCAACAACCATAGCTTGCACAAAATCTTCACCTCCAGTTCCAATTGCAGTAAAGCCTCTAACAGTTGGATAGGAGTTTACCTGCTTAGTAAAACATTAAACACTCTCCAATCAGTAATAATCAATGCAAGCTAGGACAAGGAGTTCCCTCATCAAGACTCAATGGGAAAATGGTTTGTAAAACAGAATGAGATATGTTGCGTTTCATCATGATGAAGCATAGGAATAGCATGCAAACCAGAAATTCAAGTGTTAAAATAGGCCAAAATGAAAATTGAGACACCATAGTCCATACCTTCTGATCTAGAGCAAGCCACTCATTTGTAGAATCGTCTGTCACTGTACCTCCAATAACCACATTAGTTGTTTGTCCCACCCTTCCTTCTGTCTTTGAAACTTCTGAAAATCTCCCAAGATTTAGTTGAAATAAATTTCAATGATAACTTCCTACGGATTAATTACAAGAAAAATACAAAAAGTACAAGCGCCGTGAACAATTTTGGAAACTTTGTAACTTTCGCTATCACCAAATCGCTTCATGGTTTAGGATACCAAATAAGACCTCTGACCTCAATCTTATCACACAGAAGTATATCACTGCTTTCCCAATAACAAATAGATACATATCCCAGAACTGACCTTTTTTATGTTACAAGTTTTGTTCTTTATTAAATAGGAGCGTCTACGCAAACATTAACTCAATAAATCACATAAAAGCGTTAATTGAGTGTTTAAAAAAAAAAAAAAAAAGGAAAAAGAAATCAATCCCAGTAAACAAATTCAAACACGTGTTTTTACATGTATAAGATAACACCGACATCCCACACGGAATTCGATTTTTTTTTTAAATAATAATAAATAAATAACGCATACCTGAAATGGCCTTTAGAACTGCTTCTTGAGGCGGGCCTTGCTCATTATCATCATCAGATGAAGACGGGTTTTCATTATGAGAGCAATTCAAAGGGCGAGTCCTCCTTGCCAAGTGAGAGTTACTTCTACCGTTGGTAATTTTGCAGCCACAGAAGGAATCGGAGTGGGATATTTTGTGGGACAACATGAACCGTGGTGGAAAACAGGGAATTTTGCTTTTATAAGGCAGAGGCCGCCATGGCTCTGTTAAGAAGACAGTTCGGAACACACTCATGCACGCCGCCATTTCGGAAATCCTTTATCTTGAATTTTGATTATTTAACGCTTTTGTGAGATGGTTTTTGCCTTGCCTTCTAATATTTGAAGCTATCAACAGTTTGCTTTGAATTTGTTCCTAATAAATTTATTTCTGGGGTAATTTTTCTTGGGGTAGCTGTGATGGAGCGGGCTATTCTTCTAAATGACCGAAATATTTGTTCTATTTTGCACAATAACCTTCATTATAGAAAATACTATTTTACCTTATTTTTATTATTTGCAAGATGTATCATGTATCTTTTTTAAGTCTTTAAATATTTCTTCTCTTTTCGGGATTCATTAATCAGGAC